CTCTCTCTCTCTCTCTCTCTCTCTCTCTCTCTCTCTCTCTCTCTCTCTCTCTCTCTCTCTCTCTCTCTCTCTAGCGCTACACACAAAGCACATTCAACCTCAACTACTACAGCTATGGACAGGTTAGCATGTTAGCTGCGTTTACCTTTGATGGCCCATGGCTGCTAGCTGATTACCTGCAAACGGAGACAGACGGACAGGAATGAATAAGCTGTGTACAAAACTGACGTGTATTTAAAAAAAAAAAGAAAACGCCGATTTGAAAACAATCTGCAATCGACTGCTGTTTTTCAAATTGATATTCGTGTTCACAGCTGGACACAGGGATCATGTGACCTTTTGTGATCAGCGATAGATTTTTGGGGGGGAGTTTTGTGTCTACTAACGCCTCCTGTAGACCAGTCGTTAGCAATGGTAAAGATGCTAACTAAAAAGTTAATTCAATCTTCAGGCTCAACAGTTTTCCGATTGGGTGGTGGAAGATGGACAAAGAGTGGGTCCCCGACCTCGTTAAGGCATGGTGAAATCTGTAAGACGTATTATTTTGAAAGGAAGGACGTAAATGAAAATGACTGGAGTTCCTTTTAAAATCGATGTGGCCTGATACTGAATGATCCATGGACCAGAAATGGTCCAGGAACCTGGGGTTGGGAACCCCTAAACTGCATATGGTTTTCGATCACGTAATCTCATGACGCAGTGCAAACAACGGTAACTGTTTTGTCCCTCTCGCGTGTCTCGTCCTCACCTCCGTCCTCTCCTGGTCGTTTCTGTCCCGGGTAATACAGGGAGGCGTCAACACTCCCCGATGGGGTTGAGGTGGGAAATTGTTTCTCCGCCTATTTTACCCACCATCTGAAAGAGAGGCGGAGAGAAACTTGGTTAGCAAACTTAGCTATGATGCTAACAATCCATTTTTTGATTTATATTAGAAAATACCATGAAACACAAAAGGTACAAATCGCAGATCCTAGATCAGCAGCAACGATTGAAAAAATGTCAGAATGAGCAGTAGCGCCCCCCACTGGCATGTATTATAACTACAGGCTTTTTTCTCAGTTCAGTTTCAATCACGAAATCATCACATCACATTCATCACGGGACTAATTTCTTCCCAACTCTGAGCTGTATCAATTATTATTCTGCTTTGGCCTGAATTACAGTAAATTACAACCTGGCCCACGGAGTCAAATTACAAAAATTAAAAAAAAAAAAAGGAAACGTGGAGTCTTGATGCTGAGAGCTGAGGCTGATCTGAAGTTTAACAAGACTCAAATTATACGGCGAGAGCCCAGTGTTTGCCCAATGTGGGGAGATTTTCGCTGTAAAAGTTGAAAAAGTCGACCTAGTAATGTAAATCAAGAGCCGTAGATTACAGTCGCTCATGGTTTCTTATGGTTTGACACACACACACACACACACACACACAGACAGACCAGGAAACCTAATTTAACCAACAATTTGACATCATCCGAAAAGGAGGCCAAACACGTCAAATGTTGTCATTTTCGCAATTTGGTGGAAAAAAAATATTAAGAGACGATTACGAGTCTCTCCGTAGAGATTACCTCTCTCCGTAACCTTTACACCAGTAACTCCGATCGGTGCCATACAATCACAGCAATGGCGGAAACCTGGAGAAGCTAATTTGGCTAATTGGTGTGCTACGGGAGATCATTAGGTGTGCGGCGGAAAATTATCCAATGCCCGATAACTAATATTTATCCTCTTCCACTAAGTGGCAGTAGATGGTTATAAAAACTAAGAAAAGATATTTGTGTCTTTCTTCAATTCCTGCCAGTATATCAGCATTGTCTTCTGCTAAAGGGGAGTTTAGCATTTTTTAGTAAATTTAAACGGGAATATTACTATATTTCATCGTATATACTTTTTGTGCGATTTTTGTTCGGTGGTGTGCCGATGTTACGTATGTGCAATGTTAAGGTTGGGAAACACTGCGCTACAGTAAGCTATATCTGCCTTTACGTTTTTCATTTTTTAAGTTTGTTTGCAAGGTTTATGCGTACGCACACGCCGTGGGTTCTCATTCCGTTTTCGGAACGTCCGGTTCAAATTTATCCATCGTTATAATGTTACAGCGTGGTTGACACAGTGCCACATACAGGCCCGGCATATGTACTACAGGTACTGGAGTTGTATTCTGCGGCTTTTGTTTGCGCCGCCTCCACCTAAACGCCGCGTATCCGGAGGCTACAGTCGCCGCATTGTATCGTCGCCGTGTAAACGAGGGCACAAGAAAGGAATTTTTATATAATCCTGTACGTGTGGGAGGAAGCGGCAAAACACTGAGAACAACCATGCACCATATGTAGAACACGCTGCTACTGCTCGTGTTCACACTTTTTTTTCCCACCATTCGAAATAATTCCTATTATTATTTTTATTTCCTTCAACAACAACCGCTAACAACTGTTTTTTAGAAGGATTCCTGGAGCCCGCATGTCCTACAATTTACTGGCGGCAAATCAGAGAAGTGTTGACGCCGCTACTCAGGAGTCGTTCAGGTTTTTCTTGTCTTTCTATTGACTGTGGAGTCACTGAGTCAACAGCTCTACAAGCCATTCACGGCTATTAGCTTTTAGCTGCAAGCTGACCTCACCTTGGCTGGAGCGCCCACACACATACACATGCACATACACTCAGGGAGGCAGGCACACACACACAT